TAGTTAATATAGAGTACGGTTTATTAATGAGAAGGATTGTAAGGATGTAGGAGATTAAAGGAGGAGATTATTTAAACGGGGTAAATAATAAGGTTATTCTTATTGAGGATAATAGTGCTCTCTTTGTGGCGTTGGGACTTAATGCGGGATGTATCTATGTATGTAGATTTGATTGATTTGAGTGGATTAGGTATAGTTTACAGCCATACCTACCCCGATGGAGGTATTAGCGTGTTTAGGTATTGGCGTGCCTAGGCACGTGCTTTAGCACGTGCCCGGCTTGCCTAGTCGCTGGATTTGCAGGTCGGCTTGCGACTTAGCGATAAGATAAGGGAATTCCTATAAAGGGATTCCCGCGTAGGGCAGCCTTCGGCTACGCCTTTCTTTTTCTATTATCTTTTTTTTTAATATTACAGATTGCAATAAGCATCGTGGTATTACCCCATCATTAAGTCGGACATTTTAGAATCCGAATTATATTCGTTACTATCGTTATTACTATTACTATTAATAAAATTATTATTATACTATTTATAATTTCTCCGTAATCTGCTACAATACTTTCGCTTTTTAGTTTTTAAATTTATTGAGTTTTTTTTTAAATTTTTTAATCTCGTCTTCTTTACTATTTTTAGAAGATATTAAGCCGTTTCCAAAAGGTATAAAACTATTATTAGAAGATAGTAATAAAAAAAATATAGAAAAGAAAGACCCGTACTAAATTCGAACCAGCGACCTACTATCCGGCTAACTATAGCTCCGTTATTTACTACCCGGCCGACCCTAACTCCAAACTTCCAGTCCCGCCTACCCAATTTAAAGTAAAATCTTACGTAGTATTTTTATTATTTATAGATATTAAACGTTAGTATTGAAATCTTTTAAATAAAAGAAAGTAAGAATAATAATAATAAAGAAAAGAAAATACAATTTAAAAAAAATTTTAATATAAAAGAGTATTAAGAAAATAATAATAAAGAAATAATAAAGATTTATAAATAAAAATAAATAATAATAAAGAAGCGATAATAAAAAGAAATAATTATAGTAAGAAAATATAATAATAAAAAAAATTTAAATAAAAAGTATAATTATAAAGAAATAATAATAAGATAAAGATAAAATAACTTATATAAATATAAATATTTAACTTTTTACAAGGGTATTAGTAACCCCCCGCGCTGTTAAATAACAATTTGTAAATTGATATTTTAATAGTATAAAGGAACTACCCTCCTGTTCCTTCTAGGTTCGAAATTTCTTAATATACTAATGTAGTAATTATGATACGCTTTTTATTAAAAAACTACCTATATTTAAAAAAAAACCCTACTAGAAAGAACCCCTAATAGAATAAAAGCCTAATAGTATAAAATATATAAAAATAATAGTTAGAAGTTCATTTTAGGGATATAAGTACTCCTAAAGTAATAAGGTAAAAATAGGTTAATTATATTTAGGAAAAAACCTTACTAGAGAAAACCCCTAGTAGGATAAAAACCTAATAGCGTAAAATATATAAAAATAATAGTTAGAAATTTATTCTAGGGATATAAGTACCCCCAAAGTAATAAAGTAGAAATAGGTTAAATTAAGGGATTAATTTTTTTAAACCCTTTACTACCTATCGATAGATTTAAATTTTAAAAAGTTAATCCCTAATTAAATTAAATTTTACAATTCTAGTCTATTCGTTAATAAGACTAGAACTATAAACTCTAAAATAACTATTTATTTTATCTAATAATGGTTTTTATCCTACCTAAAAAATCTAATAACGGTTTAATATAGTTATTAATTATATTCTAAATTAATAGGCCAACTACGACGGTCTCTAATAGCGGTCTAATTTAATTATTAATTATACTCTAAATCGATAAGTTAACTATTAATATTTATAGGGTATTCCTTAGTATAAAACGATTCTTTTTAAATTATTAATTAAATAAAATCTAATTAAAATTAAGGGGGTTTGAGTATATAAAGCGTTAATACCCTAGTAGACCGTAGGGTAACTACGCATTAAATTACTCTAAAAAATGAGACTAAGTTTCCTTTACAGGATACTCTTTATATTCCCTATTGGACTATTTCCCGTTACTCTAATCATTAATAAATATATTTTAAATAAATATTTTTATAATAGTTTACTATTTTTAATTAATAAAAATATTTTTAGCAGATACTTTTATAATAGTTAGTTTCTAATAAATTAGATTTTCACCTTTACTTATTAAATATTTATACCCCCAAATATCCTTAAATTACAATTAAGAATAGTATTAAACAAGCCAACCCCAAAAATTCCTATATAGGTTAATTAATAAATTAAATTATAGCACTCTTATATAAACTAACCTACTACTATTAAATTAGAATATTTAATAGGAACGCTCTATTATTTAAAAATAATAGAGGAAGTCGTAGTATTATTACTATTCAACGGTATAAATTAATTTTTATATTAAAATAAACGTTCCTCCTACGTTTAGTATATTATAGGGTACTAATTAAAGTTTTAATAATTTATATATTACTATACCTAAAATTTAAAACCGAAGATAATATTTTACTTAGGGGTGCCTAAGCCTAAAAGCCTTAGTAGCCCCCTAGTAGAATATAGAATTAATTTAAATTTATTAGTATATAAGCCTAATATTATTTAAATTCAACTTAAACTCTATAAAAAAGTACCTAAGAAAACCTAAATAGCTCTTTTATAATAGTACTTTAGCTCTATATATAACTATATACTTAGCTATAGGTATATAACCCTTTATAAGAACCCCCCTATATACGGTTATAAACGGCTACAAGCGTATAACCCTCTATAAGAATCCTACTAAGCAACCCTATATACGGTCGTAGACCCAACTACAGGCATATAACCCTCTATAAGAATCCTACTAAGCGACCCTATATACGGTCGCGCCTACTTTAACTAATTATTCTTACCTTAATTAGTCGCTCTTACTTTAGCCGGTCGCTCTTACCTTCTCTTATATACTTTGTAACCTCGGGTTTAAGGAAGGTATAGGTAGACGAGCTAAATTACGACTTTTTAATTCCTATAAAATTATTTAATATAGGAAATTTTAAAAATCGATTTACAACTACCAAACTTAACCCTACTATAGAACCTTCTTAAAATAAGTGCCGGGTAAGTAAAAAACTATTTCTTTAACTATATTAACTACTTTTACTAATAAATAAAGTACTAATTTCAAATATAGGGTAGGTAAAGTACTTTCTCTTAGCCAAGTTGGCTAGCTTTTTTTATATATATAAATAGTATAGTAGTTAATTTGAATGCAGGGTAGGGAATGCAGGGTAGGTAAGGCACTTTCTCTCGGCTAAGTTGGCTAGCTTTTTTTATATATATAAGTAGTATAGTAGTTTATTTAAATATAGGGTAGGGAATATAGGGTAGGTAAGGCACTTTCTCTTAACTAAGTTGGCTAGCTTTTCTTATATATATAAGTAGTATAGTAGTTTATTTAAATATAAGGTAGGGAATATAGGGTAGGGAATATAGGATAGGGAATATAGGGTAGGGAATATAGGGTAAGTAAGGTACTTTCTCTCGGCTAAGTTAGCTAGCTTTTTTTATATATATAAGTAGTATAGTAGTTAATTTAAATATAGGGTAGGTAAGGCACTTTCTCTCGGCCAAGTTGGCCAGCTTTCTTTATATATATAAGTAGTATAGTAGTTAATTTAAATATAGGGTAGGTAAGGCACTTTCTCTCAACTAAGTTGGCGAGCTTTTTTATATATATAAGTAGTATAGTAGTTAATTTGAATATAGGGTAGGTAAGGCACTTTCTCTCAACTAAGTTAGCGAGCTTTTTTATAGCTATATAAATATATAAAATATTATAAACTTCCTTAAGTACTTTTATATAAAAGTAAGTAATATAAATTAGAAGTATATAAAAATAAGAAAGAAAGTTTATTTATTAAAACTTTTTAAATTATTTTTTATTATTATTAAAAGAATTCACATTACAAACTTATATAACTTTTTTTTTAGTATTTTATATAATTTAGTAAAAGATAAAGTATATAAAAAAGGAATATAATTATAATATACTTATATATAACTCTAAAATAATAAAAATCTAAATATATTTTAAAAAAAAGAATAAAAAACAAAACCATAACGTAAATCGAACCCATAACCTCAACACCAAATAACCAGCATATTAACCACTATACTACAACTATTAAAAAGTTTCATCACTTATTTTATCTATATACCTCCCTTCTTTCACTATCTTCACCAAACTCTCTCCACCTCTTATCTTCTTAGAATTTTATCCTTATTATTTATTACCACTCTTATCTTATTAATATCCTTATCTATATCTTATCTTACCTACCCCAATTTTTTTTTACAATACGAATACGAACTTCGCGTCTAAAATACTACTAAGAAAAGGAAAGAATAAACGTATAAACCTTAACCATTTCAAATTATATATACACAGCACAAGCCACAGTCCGCCACAAAGATAAAGACAGAAAAGCTAACTAGTAAGGGTATTTGCCCCTGCAGGTGTGAGTGGGTTCTAAGCGTAATAATCGACACCTAAGATAGTTAATGGCCCTCCACAAGTACCAAACTAACGAACTTGACAGGGGCAAATTAAGTTGACTGAAGTGATTTGGGCAAATCGTTAACATATAGTAGGAATATAAGAGAATTACACTTAACGAAGCATTATTACCATCCCCCAAAATAATAATAAACAACTATTCAGGGGGGTATGGAAGTTGCTATCACACCAATTCTTAGCTACTTGTTATTCAGGATCGACACAGTAGACTACCAGTTTGGTGGTGAGATCACGGTGAGCCGAGGTTCCACTCTCGACTTCCCACCACGTTGACGGCTCACGCTAGGTTACTCCCATATAAGAAGCCGTTTCACCACCCCCATACAAGAACCATCAACTTGAATCATAGCATCATCACCAACTAGTATTCAACCGCCCATAATGACCGAGCCTGTCGAAACCTACAATTTTTATCCCGCTCTGCAACGGAACGTAACGCCCACTGCTTCCGGCTCAGAAGTCGTGAGCTACACCTCTGACCTGGGCGACGGCGGTCCCATCCTGACTCTCATTCACGGATATCCTCAATCTGCATTCATGTATGTAAATACTTAGCTCTTGATCACCTGTCCTGTCCTGACATGACATGCCATGACCTACCTCACCAATTCACTTTACAACACTTTCCTTGGGTCCTGGTCCTGGTCCACACCGCCCATTTCCCCAGGTAACTTAATTAAACAATTCTCTTTACTTACAGTTGGCGCTACCTCGTCCCCCTCCTCCTCCCTAAAGTCTCCCTCTTTATCCCCGAACTGCCCGGGTACGGCATTAGCACCCCCATCTCCGCTAGTACAGGCGACCACACGAAGCGCGCCGTCGGCCACGCCCTGCTCGATGCTCTCGCCCAGGTCTTCAGTACCAACAACTCTTCCTCTTCTTCTTCTTCTTCATCACCATCATCATCATCATCACCCCGACAAGTAATCCTCGCAGGGCACGACCGCGGCGCCCGCATCTGCCACCGCCTCGCCGTCGACGCCACTTCCTCTCCTTCCCTTCCCGACGAAACTAAGTCCTTCTTCTCCCACCACAACTTGACCATAACCGGCCTAATCATGCTCGACATCCTCCCCACCAAATCCCAATGGGACTTTTTCTCTTGTCCTTCTCTCTCCCAGAACTACTTCCACTGGCCGCTACTAGCCAACGTCGAGCTCGCCGTGCCGATGATCACAGCGTTTGGGGTAGATGAGTGGGTGCGCGGCGGGCATTTACGACTAGTTGGGTCGGCAAGCGATAGTAAGGAGCGGATTATGCGTGATGATGCGGTGGAAGTGCATGTAAAGTTGTTTGAGAGTGGGGAGACGGTGAGGTGGACGTGCGAGGATTATAAGGCTGGTGCACAAAAAGAGGTGGATGAGCAGGTGGAGGATTTGAGAAAGGGGAGGAGGGTGGAGGTGGATACGTTGGTGATGTACAGTTGGGAGAAATTGGGGAGGGGTGGGGGGGTGGATGTTGAGGGGGTTTGGAGGGGGGTTGTTAATTGTAGGGAGAGTGGTGAGGGGGAAGAAAAGAAGAAGAAGAAGGGGGATCAGTGGGTGGGGGATGGGGTGGAATTGGAGGTGGTGGGTGTTGAAGACGGGAGGGGACATTTCCTGCCGGAGGAGGCGTATGATGTGGTTGGGGAGAGGGTGGTGAGGTTTTTGGAGAGGTTTGGGTTGTGATTTGGAGGTTGATGAGGTCAGGTTGAAAGAGATTTGAAGATGGGGGAAATTGGGCGAGCGTTGATGAGAGAGGTGGTGATGGTGGTGGTGCGAGACAGGCGGGAAAGTGGAAATTCATCAAATCACACTCACTAGCTTCTAAGGCGCGCGCGTGTGTACGTGAGGGCATTCCCAGTTTTGAGCGAGGCGAGCATTCGACTATTGGAGCTTGATGTAGTCGATGAAATGTCCACTCACGGTTGCCTTGAAACGGAGTTTGAAATACTCCGCCACTTTTTGATCCGCCCTGCAAATCATGGTTCCGGAATCCGGCATGATGGGTTGAATGCCCCCCGCTCTCAGATTATCCACATGCTTGATGTGGAGGAGGAGATTGGATGTCTAAGTGGGCTACAGAAAAATACACGACAGCTCTGGCCCGGTAAAAACCGCTTTTCCCGGTATGACTGGGTCTAGATAGGCTACATGTGTAAACTAAAATACGTATGATTTGACTTGTCGCTTCTGATGATGGCGCAAAGCCCGACGACCTACGCTTGGATATTGAGCAAGTGTTTTCTGGCTCTGGTGTTTGGTGTTTAACAATTTTTGTACACTACACTACATACCGAGCTCTGAATTGGAGTCATCGATTGCAGTGATTGATCGACGGCTTCCAGGTTCAGGTACCTACCATAATGGAGGGGGCACATGATGCCGTGAAATACAGTGTACTGTTGCAGCCCTAAATCTGCCCTGACCCGCCCCAAGTGCCGAGCGATCTGAGTGAGACAAGATTCACAAACCTCTCTCGCTTCTCCGTGATGACTCTTTGTAGTATGGTTGTTGACTCCCGTCGATCTTTCTTTGAGCAAACCCTTTGAGTGTTTGGATGTTTGTGGAGGACTTTCAGCGGAGAGTCCCGCCACTTCCTGCTCAAGGACGCAAGCGACTAAATGAAAATTCCTTTTTTTCTTTTTTTTTTTTTTTTTTTTTTTTTTTTTTTTTTTTTTTTTTTTTTTTTTTTTTTCCTTCCCGGGAGGGGCGGTTGTGAGTCTTCACCGATGAAAGTTCCGCAGCTTCCCGGAATGCAAGAATTGCAAAGCTTGAACTCTTTCAGGTCGAGATCTGCGCACCCTGACACACACAGAAAAAAAAACCAGAGAAACCACCCCGGCCGGAAACGAAACCGAACGACAGAGATGGATCGATGCCGCCATCAATGCCATGGTCCTTGGTCCTTGGTCCGAACGTAGACATGGATGAATGCCCCGCTCCGCCATCCCTGCCGTGGTTCAGACTGGTCGTTTCTGGTCGTCAACGTCGACGCATCCATCAGCGCATCCAGACCAAGGTGATGATGCATGTACCAGACCAGATATCATCATGCGATACCCTCTTTTTTTCCCTTCAGGATGAAGAGGATGGGCGGTGTCATGACACTAAACCGCGTCATGGGAGCAACACGCCATCAGAGTTGCACAAGTCAACGTCACCGTCGCCATTTACCGCTCGCGGGTCGGCACTCGTCCGGGCAGATGATCGGCTTTTGCAATGGTGAAAATGTGATAACGGCAGCCCAAGACGGCGTGATGTGCTCTACACCCCTGCTGCTGTTAGCAAGTGATGATAAGGCGAGTGAAAGCGAATAGAGCGAGGAAGTTGTTGTCGAGGTGTGTGGTGGTGGTGATTGATCGATGAATGCCGCAACCAATGGCAGCTATTGAATGATTGTTTGATTGCCCCCTCCCTCTTTGTGACCTAAGCAAGCATATGCTTTGCGGTTTGATTACTGTCAGCTTAACCTTCAAGAAGAGCAAATCGATGAGAAAAGATCTACGCCATCAGAGGATGATGGCCTTTTCCATACATCTTCGTCAACACTCTGTCACTGTCAGTGTCAGTCAGCAAAACGCGCCGGCTGTGCTCGGCACAGTTGGGTTGGGTCCATGATTAGGTATTCATTCCATTTACATGGCACAGTCACAGACGAACTAAGCAATAAGGTGCTCCACACAAACATTCATGCAGCTTCACCTTGACGGCTGGACCATCCGGACCAACCCACCCACCCCCCTCCGCTCCTTGCTCGAGGGTGATGGAATCACCGAGGCGGCATGAGCAAAGCTATGTAGCTAGCAAACGCCGCCTTAGGGCCCCCCATTGGAGATTAAGCTCTCGTTCGCCTTTTCTTTTCAAGACCCCTGCTGCCGATCCGGTCCCAGTGAACAGGGTGACAGCTCAGTTCGAGTAGGCAACCCCCATGTCAGGCAGTCTCGGACTTCATGCAAACTCTCATGACAAACTTTTTCTTTTTCTCAGTTTCTTTATCTCCGTGTCTGGTCCATAAAAAAGCTCTACGACCCTCCTCTTCGGCCCTGTTATTTCGTCTTGCCATTTTCTCTCTTTGTCACCAGTTTTCTGCACCCAAGCCATATACGCACTCGCCAAAACAGATCACCTTCCAAAAATAATCTCACCCACCAACACACGGCTCTAGCCGCACGAATAAACCAACTGTATCGTCGACATAGACCGATCCAGGTTCTACATCCATCAGGGATTATTGTCCACAATCTCAACACACCTTATCATCAGCTTCACCTCGAACACACGAGGTTCCATCATCTCAAGTCATGTCAAACCTACCCAGCTCCCTTGGAACTCGCCAAAGGTCTTTCCTCCGAACCATCTGCGCTCGACCAAGTTTCTACAGCCGTGCATCCTCACCACAAAATTACAACGAGGACGCCATAACTCCGTGCCCGGTCGAATCATCTCACGACGACGAGGAGCACACGTCGCTTTCCAGATCATCCTCCTCCAGCTCACTGCGAAGCACGAGATCCCTGCGCTCCAGCATCGAAGACATGAGGGACTACAACGACATCGACACCCAGCTCCTCTGGCGGCGCATGCTTGCCATTCAACGCACCTTTGGCTGCTACAACTCGACACGCATGAACATTGCCATTGAGATTGGCGAGCAGAACGCTTCTGTCCGTACGTATACACTGGTGAAAAGCCCTAGTTCATGAAATGATGGTCTAACACTGTTTTTTTAGCGTCACGAGTATGTCTGGATTTGCTGAATGATAGCATTGATACACTTCCCAACGATATCAAGCAGCGAATCGAAGACTTCCTCGCATGCGAAGACGTCTCTAGGTCATCGTCATCTTGCAGCAGGAGGAAGTGGAGTTGGAGGCATCTTTTGCATGCTTGATTATCATTCGGTGGAACCAACTAGGGCTGGACCCAAGATTGTTTTGGGGTCTGTTGTTCATCCCTTTGTTGAGAATGACTGGGTCGCTTGGTTGCTCGGTCGGGCTTTTCTTTTTCCTCCTTTCATGATATATACCCCTTTTAGAGATACGCGGGATGCACGGGAATGGCGCAAAACGGTGGCTTTCTTTTCCTCGGACGCGTCATGTTCGAGATTGGCACGTTGGTCCGGAAGTTTACGGGAAGGTTTGTCAAAGATAGTTTACAGAAGCATTAGATGAGGAATTTGGTTGGAGGATCGACAAGTACAACACCAAAGTTGCACCCACTTTTGTTGAATGGGTGTTTTTATTTCACTATTTCCAATCTCCAAAAGAAGCAAACCACGAATGAGGCACCCGGCGAATTGTGGTTGATATCAGGTTTACAGCTGTTATCTCAATTCTTGTGGCGTTTGATAGCTCTGACAGCGACGATAACAATTGCCTGAACACGAGGTATTTGGGCACCCAATAATCCCAGAAGCAGCAATTCGTAAAAGCGATCGACAGTGTTGGTGAAGCCAAGCCAAACAGACGTCTTTCCCGCAATGTACGTCGTATTGTTCTTTCTTTTCGACCAACTCGAGTCATGGAGCCTTTCGTCTCCAATCTCCCAACACCTCGATTTGATTCCGAGCTCCAGCATAAACAACGACTTGTGGAAAACGTCCTATAATGCAACCAACTAAAACAAAAGTCTGTTTCGCATTGTCGTCAAACCCAACGGTCGTGTGTTTGTGCCATTCTCGGCTCTCCCCGATTCGTAATGAACCGATCCATGACCCCCCCTGGCCCCTGCCTTACCCGACCCCGGCAGTAAAACCCCCCCCTGAAAAAAGAAAAACAAGACCCATAGTTCAAACCCCAGGATCGATCAGATAGCATGCACAGTAAACAACCCATCTGAAGAACCTCCTTTGTTTGTTATGCTCCATTTCCATTATTTTTCCCCCTTCCACCCCAGGGCAGTCAGTCTCCGAACTTAACACCTCCAACCACCCTTCTCAGCCCCCATTCATTCCTCCCGTTTACCTTTGCCATTTTATCCTTTGGCCATATTTTCCCCCTCTTCTCACCGTGAATCACCAAACCACCATTCACAACCCCATTACAACTATTTATCCCCGAACACAACCCACCACCCCCAATTCCAGTCCTCAACCCAACTCAAGCAACCCACTCAAGTTCCAATCTTGGTGGGAATATCCTCATAATAACTCATCCTCCACTTTTCCTCCCGCCCCTTCATCGTCTCCTCCATCCCTTCCTCCCTAACCAACACCCTCGGCACCTCCATATCCATCTCCATTTCCATAGCATCCATCTCCCTCCCGCCCCGTCTCGGCACCTTCTTATTCCCAAACCTTTCCTTCGCCCCTTTTGTCGTCCTAACAGCCACACAATAATTCTCCCCCGTTGACGCAACCGCATGCACAAGCACGTCTTCTCCAAATGGCCATTGCTGTTTATCTTCCTCTTCTTCTTCTTTTTCTTTTTCTTTTGTCGGGAGGAGAAAAGACCTTGGCAACTGTTCGCGCTCATCATACTGGACAAACATGCCTGATTCCTTTTGGGCGTCGAGCCACCGTCGAGCAAAATCGACTGCGTCGCGCTTGCAAGGGAAACAACCTTCGATTTCACAGGCTTGGAAGAGACGGGTGATGGATGAGGAGCGACGGCGGCGGGGGGGTGGATGATGATGATGCCGGCGGTGGGCGGCGCCGGTGGTGGTGGTGGGCTCGGGCTCCTCGGGCTCGGACTCGGGCTCGTCGGGTTGGCCTGGTGCTAGGGCTTGGTTGTAGTCGGTTTTGGTTTGGATTACGTATGAGAGTTCTTCTGTCTCGTCTGATTCGGCTTCGGCTTCGGCTTCTAAGCCAGCACCAAGTGGCTGCCTTGCTTTAGATTTGAACTTGGAGTAGGGAGTCTTGTGCGACGGCAGTAAGGGAACGTTCCCGTACATGGAACCCGCCGAAGCCAGATGCTCCGTGTTGGGCTTCTCGACGACGCCAATGAGGAATTCCTGACCGCCGGCACGCGCCTTGGCGTACACGAGCACTTCGTCGCCGTAGGGCCAGACCTCGGGAGGCTCCCCATCGTTCTCCGTGTCCGAGGTGCCTGTGCTTGTCGAGTAACCACTTTCGTTTTCCAACTCCTCCGCCGCCAGTTTCGCTGCGGCTGTGGTGGGTTTGGGTGTCTTTGTTGCTGCTGCTACCGCTGCGGCTACTGCTTCTGCTGTTGGTACTTGCCCTTTTTTCTGAGGAGGAGGAGGCACGCCAAAGTTCTCGCGGGTGGCGTAGATGGCAAAGTCGTAGGGTTGGTAGTTAAGCGATCGGAGAGCGTCGTGGTAGGCAAAAGCCTTGGCGTCCTTGAGAGTGGTGTGCGTGCCGAGGACCTGCAGGCAGGTGGTGGCGCCGCAGGTGGTGGCGTGGTGGTCGATTACAGTCAGGGTCGTGTGGTAGAGGTTGTCGGGAACCACACCGGCACCTGGATCGGCGGGTTTTGTTGATGGAGGAGAGAGGGTGGCGGAGATGCCTTTGGCCTTTTGGTGACTGGCCATGGTGTGTGTGTGTGTAGGATACGCTTCCGTTCGGCGGTTCTTTGATGATCGAGTTTCAGCTCGGTATACACGTTCGGGCAATGGTATTCATGGAATACGCTGACGATTCCTTGCTGTCATGTGATGAGGCCCTGGCCTCCAAGTTCTGATTTTCGACGAGAAATAGATTTACTGGCAAGCAGCAATACAGATGAGTCCTGGAGTCAATACGAATGGTAGCTTCGTGATGCGGCGGACGTGTGTGTCTCACGGAAAACGCTCGGCCGTTTGGGATTTCGGTTTCCAAGTTTGATCACCAGAGTAATCGGGTGGTTGATCAAACTAACCAGAGTTCGGCAAGTTGACGAATATCGATTATGAGCTGTTGTATTCGTAGTGCTCTCAAAACAATCGAGTTAGAGACCAACGTCGACCATAAGAGTATTCCGTGTTTTATAAGCTTGGTGATGAACGCGCGGTGACTAGAAGATGACGCATGGACTACAACTCCTCTCATAACGTCACCGGCTCTCTGCCACGCACAGACTTCCATATACAATGGGGCAAGAGGAGAAGACTCCGCCATCGGTAATGTGACTGTGGTTCAATCCTCCATATTCTTTTTCGTTCAAGCTTCAGTCATGCTCGCCGCAAGCGAGGGCAGCAACTGGTAGCCAAAGGTCCGTTGATTCGCCGGTATTCTCATGCCAGAGTCCCGGTCCGAACCCGAGACATGTCTCTTCAGACATCAGAACTCCGGCATTATTCGAATTCACGATTGTGTAAAAACGAGGACAAGAAAGCTAAGGGGGAAAGCTCTCGATCAAACCCCCCTCCTTGCCCACTCACCATCTGTCCGTTCATCCCCTCCGCTCGTAAACATCCCTACCAACCTCCTCACTGCTCCCCAAACACAAACCACCTCTTCTCCTCCGTATCATACGTCAAATTAGTCGTCACCGTCTTCCCCCTCTGCAAACTTCCAAACTCCACCTTCCCATCCACGCTCGCCACCATCTCCTCTCCATATCTCTGCAGTCTATTCTCCCCATCCTTGACCGTAAAGTTCGCCAAAGACACCTCAAACCCGTTCCTCGTCCTAATATCCGGCGACCCGTAAAACCGAGCGGTCACCCCTTCATACCCAATACACAACTCAGTGTACCCCCTATAATACAGATCCGTCCACTGCAGCTCCTTATTAAAGCCCGTCAACAGAGTCGTGTCCGTCTCCGTCTCCTCCATCGTGACATTCTGTCCCAGCGGACTAGGGCTCGAGACCGCGCTGACGGCGAACTCGACGCCGATTGCCCCGCGGCCCGTGATGGGGTCGTATTCCCCTAGTTCGATTGGCTTGTCGAGCCAGACGAGGTCAGACGCCCACGACGCGTGCGAGTCGCCTGCTAGCATGATGTTGTTGGTGATGCTGTTCTCGTAGAGCGTAGCAAAGGTGCGGTTGCGGTTGGCCACGTAGCCGTCCCAGGCGTCGTAGTCGTACGGCAGGTTCATGTCCTTGCTGACGATCAGCTGGCTGAAGATGATCTGGTTGCCGATGAGCCGCCACTTGGTGCCGCGCTTGGAGGATTCCTTGAGCGTGCGGTAGAACCAGGCTTCTTGCCGGGGACCCATGAGAGAGCGGGAGGTGTCGTTGGAGATGTCTTTGATGTATCCTGTGTTCTAGAGCGCAAAATGAAGGATGTCAGTACAGTTGATAATGCGGACTCGGGGCGGACAATAGTGGCTTACAGTGTATATGTTGGTGATGGACCGGTCATATTGCCGCGTGTCCAACATGATGAGGTCGAAAAGGTCGCCGAATTCGAAATTTCTCCAAATGCGCAGGCCATCATCCATGTCTACCTGACGGATGGGCATCCATTCGAAATAAGCTCGAACGGCGTTTGCCTTGCGGCTATCTGTCGACACACCGCCGTCACTGATAAAAGAGTCCTCGTTGTTCTGCAGAAAAGAGCTTCCATCACGCCACGTATTGTCCGCCACCTGCGATTCACAGTTGTGGTTAGCAGGCTGTGTGCTCCGAGGACAACAATAACTTTTACATACCTCGTGATCATCCCACACCTGAATCCAAGGAAACTTCATGTGGTTGGCAACCAGGTCCAAGTCGGTACGGTACGTCGCAATTCTCCTTCGGTAGTCATACAAGCTAGACACATGTCAATAACGGAAAAATAACTAATAGACAAAGCGCCAACATACGTATATGTTACCCGGTCTGGCTGCGGGATGCGACCAAGAGCATCACCCCAACCATACTGTCCGTTCTGGAATTCGTAGATGTAGTCACCCAAAAAGACAATAAAGTCCACCGAATCCTTCCTCACCGTGTTTCCAAACATGTTGAAGAAGCCCTGGGCTGACCAAACGGTTAGATGAATTACCAGATGCGCCAGCCAATAGACCTACGATAGTTGCTGCACGAGTACACGGCAAGTTTGATATCAGAAGGAACTTTATTGCCCTTTGCCGGGAGTGTCTTGGTCCGACCGACCGGCGAGTTGTTGTAGGAATCACAAATGTTGAACTGATAGTAGTACGTAGTGAACGGGAAGAGCCTCTTCGCCTCGACCTGTTGAAATAGTTAGCCTCTCGACTATGGCGTACCATCTCAACGCTGCTCTTCTCACCTTGACAGTAAAGTCAATGTCCGAACTTGTCCACACACGCCCTTCATCGGCTACTTTCTCAAACTTTTCATCCGTGGCAATCTTCCAGTCAACACACACTTTGGACTTGCTGAAGAACACAAATTCTTCAGTTTCATGGCTGAACAGCCCAGTGGTTTCGCTGACCGTGGTATTGGAGTGGTCATTGTCCATAGTTGGTGCCGCACGTGTCCAAAGAATGACGCTGTCATCGTACGGGTCTCCTGAAGCAACTCCGTGTGTAAAGTTGAGCTGCTCAGGCTTCCATGGTAAGCTTTCATACGTCCTTGCCGCAACCTTGGGAATCGAAATACCCAGGGATGGGTGACGGAGGGATGGCGAGAAGTAGTTGATATTGCCCGCGTAGAAAGCCGAAGCTCCCGCAGCGAACAAAAGAAAGCCTGTTTTCTGCTTCATCGTCATTGCTAGAGAAAGAGTTTGAAGCGACGTTCCCACTTGGCTGGCTCGGAAGTAGAACAGTTACATCCCATGATGACAGCATGGAGCATCCTGTTTATACATATTCTTCTCCATCTTCTCTCACGAGCTTCGATCGTGTTGGTGCTAATGCCTCGGCAAAGACTCGCAACAGATTAGCAAGCTTCTATGCATGATTTACCACTTTTACTCATCCAAACCCGTTATTTCTAGGCCCAGGAGAGGCTTTGTCATAGGGCTCAACCACTACTTACCATAGTTTGCGAGATGGCATGCAGGTAGAACTGGGATCGCGCAAAGTTCAGCTTCCGCTTTAGGAAAAACCGGTTTGAGCAAGTAAAATCGGTACTGTTGCAGGCAACTCGAGTGGCTGGATTACGTACCATATTGATCAATTGGGGTTATATTCCTTGGCCAAGGGTACATCGCATAGGGACGAGCCTCGTCACAAAACAGAAAGAGTCGCTTACCTGCCTGCATTGGTAACGAATTAAAGGCATCTCGAAAGTCGTTGACAGGGCCATTTTGACGGGTGCGGCTATGCACAGTCCGGGGATTGAGTGAGCAGCAGATAACCTTGCGGGGAAACCACAAGAGCAATAATCCCGTCAAATGTTTTCCAATTCATTGGCAAGAGTAAGCGAGCCTTGACCCCCTTTTTTTTTTTTTTTTTTTCTTTTTTTTTTTGAGATGATGCATATATTGAGGGCTAATGGAAAAAACTACTTCCCGTAGTTGATATTCCCTAAGCATACATCCGTCGAACCACCGCAATGACGGCGTTATTTGTGAATCTTCTCCTTCATCCAGCATACCTTTCAGATGATGTCTTATACTTCGAAGACCAATACACGAGCTAGATTGCCCCCCATCTTTCGTACCACAAAGGCGGATATTTCGGAGCAGTTATCGGTTGCTCCTTGAAGGCTTGCAGTGAGCATTGTTATCGTGTTTCATCTGCCGGTGGTTTCCTTGTGAGCGTGCTCCTCAAAGCCAATCTTCTCCTCCGACGAGAGAGTATCGTTGTGCTCCTGCTTGAGCGTAAGATTGCGAGTGTTTCTTGTCTTCCAAGCGGGGGTGCCGATGTACTTGATGGCTGTACAAATGGTTTCAGATTAACGTTTGACCAAAAGAACAGGGCGTCTCATATGATGGAGTGATAACTTACCTCCAGGCTTGGTATCGTCAAAGATCTCCTCGACTTCCTCAAGGGGCTTGTTGGCGGTCTCGGGGAACATGAAAAAGACGTGGATGAACATGGCCGCGCAGAACGTAGCGAAGATGACGTAGGTTCTCCAGGTAATGTTAGCAAAAGCAGGAGGAACAAAGTAAGCAAGGGCAAAGTTGAAAGCCCAGTTGGCGGAAGTGCAGAGGGCAACGGCTTTTCCGCGGAGACGAAGCGGGTAAAGCTCCGGGGGATAGGTCCACGAAACAGGACCCCAAGTGGGCGCGAAAGATGCGACGAAGAGATAAGTTGAAGCAATGACGGCTTTGGCTGGAGCGCCAGTAATAGCCATGGATTCGGCCGGGGAAGTGAACTCGCCAGGGCGGGCAGGTCGTGAATAGACAGCAAACAAGCCGGCATTGACACAGAGCCAGAGGCACATGAAGAATGCACCAACCAGCAGGGTCGGACGACGGCCCCAGCGATCCATCCAAAGAAGAGCCGGTATCGTCATGACGACGTTAATGACGAACTGGATACCGCTAGGGAGAAGGACGGCATTCTCGCTTCCATCGGCAAGACCGGCCATTGTGAAGACGTAGGTTATGTAGTACATCTGTTGGCGGTCAGCGATGACTTTGGTGAAACATGGAGCAAGGATAGGAAGACATACCATCACATTCATACCGGTCAACTGAGACCATATCTGAGTAAAAACGCCAATCGAGGTCCGGTTGATCATGTTGGGCTTGAACAGTTCGAAGTAGCTGACATCAGCATTGGCGCGCTCGAACTCGACCATCTCGCGAATCTCTTGCATCTCACGGTGCACCCACGGGGAGTTGGGGTTTCCTTTTCCGTGAACCAAGGTAAGCACATCCTTTGCCTCGTCCCATCTGTCCTTCTTGCAAAGCCAGCGGGGCGACTCGGGGAGGAAGACAAGGCCGAGAAAGAGGAGGGCGGCAGGGATGGCCTGAAGACCCCAAGGAACTCTGAAGGCGGCCGTTCCCTTCATAAACGAGCAGCCATAGCAGATAAAGAACATGATCAGAATGCCCCAGGTGATAGCCCATTGCTGGAAACCAACAAGGCGACCGCGCTTTGAAGGAAGGGCGATCTCGGAAATGTAGACAGGGACTTGGGCAGAGCATATTCCGACCGAAAATCCGTTGATGATGCGGCCGACAACCAACATGGGAATGTTGACAGACGCGCAGACGATGATGGAACCAATAATCCTGCAAGAAATGGTTAGGTCCTTGGTTCTCGAGAGGTAGTTGAGGCGGAGACCACGTACCAAATCACAGAACCTATCTGAATGGAGCGTTTGCGGCCGAAAGTATCGGAGACAAAACCAGAGCAGAGAGCGCCGAGCCACGAACCACCAGGCATGGCGGCTGTGATACCACCCTGAACATCGTTGGTAGGACCGAGGCACAAGCCCTTTTCGTTGTGGCCGAGCTGGTTGAACTGGCAGAGGTACGGCTGAGTCGAGATAATAGCTGACATGGAAGAAATATCGAAGCCAAATAGCGCGCCGCCTTTTGTCCCCTAGTGGTTAGCTTGAAAAGCAGCGGGCTAGAGCAGAGATGGACTCATAGCAGTGGTGACGGAGATGGACTCACCGATGACGGCGACGGCGGCGATGAAGTAGATGTTGCCGATTTTGTACATCGTGTCGTGGGTTTGCCCAAGGCAAGGTCCAAAATCGTATATAGGATTCGGGTGCTATGGAGGCATATACCACGAGGGTCGAGGAGGTAGGCGGTTATCAAGGTCGGAGGAAAGCTGATAGTAGCGATACTTTGTGGGCGATTTTGTAGGAGGTGTTTCGGCAACCAAAAGAGGAGTGTCTCAAAAACAGAGGTGAAGGTAGGAAGTGAAAGCCAAGGATTGACTTGCGGTAGGAAAAAGAAGAAGAAAAAGGTGGAAGAGGAAGAGGGGGAAAAGCAAAGGAGCTTTAAAGCAGACGAAGTACGGCAGCAAGTGAAGCCTGGACCCTGGGGCTCTGTACGTACGGAGTTCGGACAAAGTGAAGGGGCAACCAAGTGAAGGCCCGGGCAGGAGGAAGCGTGAGAGCGGATTTCACTTGCTTCAAACCTGGAAGAAATCAGGCAGATTGAATCTGCTCTCTCGGGCAATCACTGCACTCATCTGGTGGGTTTGGTGTACGTGTTGCTCAAGGTCTCCTGGGAGGAAGCGGCACTGCAATAGGGAAGGAGCGAGGCTGCGAGCTGAGATGTCAGCCGGGCTGATAATGACAAGGCCGACAGTGTCCAGCAGAGGTACAGCAACCCGGAGACTCGGACTCGATGCAGCTGTACAACGGGCATGAAGGTAGAGGTAGGGAAGAATAAAAGCGGTGCATGTGCAATTGTTCAACAACACCGGTTGCTCTCTCCCATAAGTACCCAAGACCACGGCTGCCCTGCTCATTTCTATTTGGTGAGTTGGATGGTAAGGACTTCCTCGACATTCGGAGCTCTGCCATTCTGCAGCAGCTCATGGTAGCCAGTCTCGGACATCGAACCAACGTGACGGCTTTGACCACCTCGCTGCCGGGTGCTGCACTGCAGCCGATCGTGACCGAAGAAGGAAGTTGGGGGAGGCACAACCGTTCACATAAATTAAAAGTAGTAGGGATCGTACATGCAATAACCCCATGACCTCGGATGGGAAGGGACATCGATGTCCAGGAAAATCACTGGATCCTACCGACTACTCTCCAGCCTCGGGTTGCCCAGCAGACCGGCTTCGAGTCTGGCGGCAATCTTCCACTTGGGATGAACTTGTCTCAAACCCTATGTTGCTGACTGTCCACCTTTCCCTCATTCCTCTTTCGTTCCATACCTATTCCAGGAACAAGTGAAACCTCGACAGCTCACGCCTGTGCCTGGTAGTCTTCCACATTGGAAAAGGCAGCTCTTCTTGCAAGGGGAAGGTTGTTTTGAAACTCTGCGGCGCAACTATTCGTGACCTTACATTCGTCATGCTGGTATGGAGGCTACTAGGTTCCCCAGAGCGGCTCAAGCCATCCGAGCCGTCCCCTGTCATCCCCATGGGGTTTCTCACCCACCAGATCGAATATTTGTGCTGACTCAAGCTTTGGTCGGTTGAACTGATGCAGGAGACAAAAGCACCTTTTCCTAGTGGCCGGATATGGCTTATTTCACTTGGACCACCTGATCAGATCCCTGATGTTCTTGCGTTGAGGCAGTATCTTTGGGGGGTTATACGCTGGAGGTCAGGACAGACAATCAGTGATGGCAAGCTCCTCAGTTCTGGCCCTTCGGTGCCCGAGGGTTCTTGATTCTGATGTCTGCCTTGGGGATTCCGGTCAAAATAGAGGTACCACATTCTTGGCCATGGTTCTTGACGGAAGCAAGTGCTCAACCGTTGTGCGCGAAACAATGTAGATGCCGAGAAAGCTTAACAAAGAGTAGGGGTCCTATTTGTGACGTCATAGCCTCGCCAAGAAGATGCTGTCTCGTCCTCTCCGAACTTCTTTTAGTCTAGTTATCGCGGGTTGCACATCCATCAGCGAGAGAGACCATGAACCGAGACTCGCCGTCTGAATGAGTGAGCTGAAAACGAAAGGGCCGAATCAGACAACCAACAGTTTGCGCCACCACAAAGCTGTTGCGTAAACAAGCACAGCATATGGCCGTTTCTGGGTGTTGTGCATGGTGAATTCTGACGGCACTGTAGTTAGTGATCCCAATGGCACACAACTTGAGCGCTTGAACAAGGCTTGCTGCTCTGCTGATGAGATCGGTAGCATAGCTAAACCATCCAAACCGAAAGACTGGTATGGCACAGGACACGTTACAGTCCTCGATCCTTTGAGGAAGAGATGCGAGGACGGTGGGCTCGAGTTTCGTTGATTCGCAGGCTCGGTAGAGGTAACGTCAAGACAATGAGCGATCCACCAACCCCGGGTTTCCGGCACGTCGAGCTGTGATCCAAACCAGAGAAGACTGTCGATATTCCATGTCGCCCAAAGGTAACATGGCTGACGAGGAGGCGGTGCGCTGCTATCCCCTTCTCACTCGTCTGGGCTTGCACCGAGACAAGTTTCACGACGTTTATTACTCGGATTGGTTGGTCCTGTTCATCCTCTCTTCTAGCCCGAACACTGTGCACCGTTGTACCCCATGATCTCTGCATATAAAAGTTTATGCTTGTACCCGCGCGCGTGTTTTCTTCGAAACGGCACCGATTTGCTGCCTTACGAAGTGCGACTCGTTTCGAACACGTTTGTTCAACAAAGCACTCTTGGGGGATCAAGTCTTGAGGCTCAGGATGGGGGGTTAGCTTACGGGAATCAGGCGGTGCATAGGGCCCTACAACCGACGGCGGACAAGGTGAGGATGGTGCTCAGTCGCACTGGTGAGCATATGAATCTGTAGAAGGTTGTTCTTCCATAATCCTTCTACCGTAACAACTTGAAGTGTTCAGCACGCTTCATCTCTCTGGGTTTCCAGCGTTGATCTGACTGCGACCGCGCGCTGTTATGGGAGACATAATCTCAACCAATTCTAAAAGCTAGAATAGCTGTGTGTAACAAAAGCCGGTGGCCAGAATTTGCAGGAGCTGGCAAGGTGCCTGGTGATGGCGATTACAGTCCAATGCTGGTTTGATTGTTAGCTTGGTACACCAGGCACTCCTACTGCACAATAAACATAGTATACTAGACAAGTTCTATCTCGAATAGTCCTAAAGGTTATATAGATAAATCAAAAGGTATTAGTTGTATTTAATCTAGCATTTTGAATGTTAGAGATGGCGTACCCAAGGTAAGATTATACATTAGTTAGCCATGAAAACGCATAGGAAAGTTGACACGAGGTCTCGAGCTAACAAACAAACCAGTACTGGACTGTAATGTCAGTGACTGGGATGCGGAAATCTGAGTGCAGTGTGGTGTTGATGTCCAAATTGTATACGGGCCTCTACAAGGGCAGGAGGTGGTGTTTTAACTGGTGGACTCCTACATAATAGTCCACATTTATTGCGCACCCAAGCGAGCCATGTCTGTGTTTCTTGTAGACCCTTCTATGTACGCGCTACCGCAGCTCGTCACATGGTTTCGCTCCTAGGGATCCCCTGCTCGAGCTTCGACAGGCGCGTCTCTGCATCACCCATGGGACAACTCACGATAATTCGACGCGTCTGCCTATGTCCGACCACTTCCCCTCGTTTACCCACACCACATCGTTTTGGACGATCATTCTCTATAACCCGAAAAGTCATGGCACCTACAAAACGTCCTGCAGCTGAAGGCGATCGCTCGATTTCTCCTCCGCCCTTGAAGCGCAAAGCCCAAACCGCCATCTCAAGTTCGCTCCATTGCCCGTCATTCCTCTGTTATGCAGTGAGCGCATGCGCTAACACTTCCTGCGCAACATACAGAGAGTGCGGTCGCAAGCTTCTTTACCCCCGTATCCCAGAAACCAAAGGACCGAACCACCTGGACAGAGAAAAGCCCCGATGCCGACTCGCCTGCCACCCTTCTTGTAGCCAAGTACGTCCCGGAAGGATCGCCGACGAACGATGAATCAGTGAATACAACAGTCAAGAGGAGGAAGATTGCAGCCTTCGATCTTGTAGGAGCCTAGATTGTGCCCAGCAACCCGGCCTTCAATCATTCTAATTCGTGTTAACAGGACTCGACCCTGATTACATCGGCCTCTGGCAAGAAACACTCCCACGACGCAGCCGACTGGAAATGGTGGCACCACTCGGTCCCTGGTCGCTTGCGAAAGCTGTACAATGAAGAAGGGCGCGTCCTCATAATAACCCCAACCCAACATCTAGATCAGATAGCTAACCTTTGCGGAAACTATCAGATACCAAGTCATAATCTTCACCAACCAAGGCGGCCTAACCCTCCACGCCTCTCCATCCTCCACCACCTCCTCCAAACCCAAGACCCCCAAAGCCCAACTCGACCGCGTCCCCCAATTCAAGCAAAAATGCTCCGCCGTGCTCTCCCAGCTCGACATCCCCACGACGCTCTACGCCGCGACAAGCAAGGACATCTACCGCAAGCCACGCCCCGGGATGTGGCTAGAGATGAAGGCCGACTACAACTTGGTCAACGACGACGACATCGACCTCGAGAACAGCATCTTCGTCGGCGACGCCGGCGGTCGCCAGTCGGAGCTTCCACCAAATAGTAATGGGCGTAAAGCGACCGCAACTCCCAAAGACTTTAGCTGCTCAGACCGCAACCTAGCGCACAACGTGGGCATCAAGTACCAAACGCCCGAGGAGTTCTTTTTGGGGGAGGAGCCGAGGAATTTCACCAGGGATTTCGACCTTGTCAAATACCCTTATCCCTCCTCACCTACCACTACCGATACAGACTCCTCGAAAAAAGAAATCCTCTTCACCAAAATCTCCCCCCAGGAACTAGTCCTCTTCGTCGGCCCCCCTGGCGCCGGCAAGTCGACCTTTTACTGGCGGCACCTGAAACCGCTTGGTTACGAGCGGGTCAACCAGGACGTGCTGAAATCCAAAGACAAGTGCCTCAAGGCAGCGACCGAGTATTTGAAGGAAGGCGACTCGGTGGTGGTGGACAACACCAATCCCGATCCGGATACCCGCAAGCAGTGGGTTGAGCTCGCGAAGAAACAGGGGGTGCCGGTTCGGTGTGTGTGGTTTCGGACGCCGTTGGTTGTTTGTGAGCACAATGATGCCGTGAGAGCGTTGAATAAACCAGTGAGTTATGTTTTTTGCTCTTTCTTTTCCCTCTCCCTTCCTTTAGCTAGCTGGTAGTCGCTAACCTCTCTTTCTCTCTCTCTCTCTTTCCCTTGACCAACAGCTTAATCCCGAATCCCGAACATCACTCCCGAAGCTTGCCTTCAACAGCTTCAACGCCCGGTTCAAGGAGCCCAAGGTCAAAGAAGGCTTCCAGGACGTTACCGAGGTGGACTTCAAGTTCAGAGGAACCAAAGAGGAATATGAAATATGGGGGAAATACTGGATTTAGGGCTTAGTCATGATAGGTCTTGATGTTGCGCATGTTAGCAAATACCCGATGTTGCAAGTCTTTGCCCTTCCAGTTTCAATCTCAGCCTTGTTATTGCTTGATAACCCACCATGTAGACAACCTCTTGAGCTTCGGTCTGCTAAGCAAAGTCTCTTCTTTCTCATCATGCCAAGACACGTCTCTGGAATTTGAAGTGGTGACGTGGCTACCTACCTACCCTTGGCCTAGCCTAGTTTATCATGATTTTTTTTTTTTTATTCGTCTTTCCTTATCGTTCATATATTCCTTGCTTTATCTGCCGTCGTGGTAAGAAGGAAAAGGAAAAGTCTGCACGTCTCTTGCCGCCATGTCTGTGTGAGAAGAAAATAAAAGCCAAACCTGACCCCCTTGACGGAATACCATGTACCACCGCTTCCTTGCCCCAGACACCTCGCTTTGGCCCCCCTTCTTCTTGTTTCCCTCGTCCCATCATATAATGCATGCGTCCACGCCCGGATGTCTTTCCTCTTTTTTTTTGATATCATGTCATACCCCGCTTGTCATGTCCCTTTGTTCCCTCTTTCTCCCTTTCGTGTTACATTAAATGCTTTTGAGTCGTAAAAGTCGTTCGGTCGTTTGCACATTCGTTCATTTCCTTGCCCCGTGTCCTGGTTCGCAGCCCTTGGCTTGGTGGCATCAGGCGCAGCGCACCCGCATCCACCTGCAGCAAATCTGCCTGCTTTTCATTTCGAATCCCTCTTTAGCTGCGAACTTCCCCCCCCTCCTTTCCTCCCCAGTTTGTTTTTTCAAGCTGCAAATTCAGCCTCGCCGAGCCCTCTTGCTGTTTGGCATTACGAATCCCCGTTCATCTTCACCTCCCTCCTCCTCATCATCCACATCCAAATACCCTCGGCTCCCATTGCGAGCGTTCTGCATCATGGCCATCCGACTGTACTGATCCTTCATTGACATTAGAACCGGTACAGACTTGGAGTGTTGGTGGTGGGGGTGCTGCATGACTCCGCAAACACTTTCTCTGCCGGCGCCAATGCCGATGCCTCCGACGCCTGCAGCAACCATCGATCTGGGGACCCCGCTCGGAACAGACTGGTTGTGCGGCAACGATAACGACGACGACGCCGGTCTCGTGGTCGAAGACCCAAACGAGGCAGTCGCCGCCGCCACCGCAGCAGCAGAAGGTTGCCGAGCATCGAACCAATCCCTGCTACAGAAACTGCCGCCGCCGACTACGACGCTGCCGTGAGTGCTGCTGAAGCTGCTAGCAGCAGAAGTGGGCGCTTCGTCGTCGTCATATTGATCATCTTCATAATGATCGTCGTCGTCGTCGTACTCGTACTCGGCCGCACCGTGTTGTTGGCCCTGGGTATGGACTCGGTATTGGTCTTGACGCTGCTGTTGGGAAGAAAGGGTGAATAGCTGTGAGCTGGTCGGGTTGTGGCCGGAACTAGTGTTGGGCCGGGATGTGGGGCTGGGGCCAGATGTAGGTGAAGAAGTCCGGAAAGCCGAAGATGGGTCGGGTCCGGTCGCAATCACACCACGGAGAATCAGAGTCGCTGCCTTCGCGCTTATCATGTGGTCCCGGTTGGGACCGTGGAATTCGGAAGAGTGCGGATGACCATGACCATGGCCGAAGCCGGGCCCGAGGCCATGCTGGTTCTGGTGGTGTTGCTCCCTAAGCAGACCGTTGAGAAGTTTGGACATTTTGAAGGTTTCTCGGAAGGTAGGTGATTGATGATTTGGCCTAGAAGTCGCGTGCGAGATGGTTGTTGTCGTCAAGTTTGTCAAATTTGATAAGGTGCCGAGACGATACTTGATTTGGCGCCGGATAAATGAGGGGAAAGTGGATTGTTGCCTGGACGTCGTCGGTTTTCGTCGAAGAAAAGGACCAGGCTGCGACGTTTAAAATGTTGTTGCAAATGGAATCGTGTTAAGCCAAGACTGGATCTTCACAGCCAGCGGGTGCTGGTGCGGTGCAATATCGATTGGTTACGGGAATTGATGGGCGATTGAATGACGTGGAGATGTTGGAAGGTTGAGAACCAGAACCAGCGGCCTGATGAGCAGTGAGTGGTGAGTGCTACTCGCTGTGAATTGTAGAAAGTAAGGGATCGTTGCGCCAGCGCCAAAGGAAAAGTATGATGAATATTGCTCTGTGAGTCCTGCAGACGTAGTGTATTGTTACTAGGCTGAGGTGGTCTTGAGTTCTGGAATGGCTTTTGAGGATGAATGAACGATGAGATTATTCTGAAACTGGGTGCAAGGGAGGAAAATTCCTGTTGCGAGCTGAAGTGCAGGATGACGGCAGCTGTGTTTGTGAAGCGCCAGCTCGCGCCAGCTCGACTGGAGTCGGCGGGACGATGGACGGTCCAGCGCAGCTCAACGGACATGGAACATGCTTGTTAGTGGCAGTTAGTACGCTTCACTTGTAGTGCTGTGCCACTGGCGTAAGTAAGTGCATATGGCTAACATTTACCAAACAGCACGGGTGCATTTGTCGGAGTGACACAGTCACAACGCAGCCACGCATCCAACATCAATAGTGCAATGGAGGGAGGTGACAGGAAGATGATCAAACCCAGCCAGTGGGAAAGCCATGGAATCAGATGCCATGTCGTGCTCCTATCCGCGACTCGTCCAAGTTTGTCCGGCCGTGCCCTGGTCAACTTTTCTTACCACTTGGTTGCTTGGCCTGTAGCGTGCGTCGGTGGCATCCCGTCCCCCCCCTCCTGAATATCATACCTGAAAATTGCCTTAAACGCCGTCCCTGGGCGGGCTCCTGCGCCGTTTCAGCCAGGGCAACGCCGTGACCCCTAGGTATGTAGGTATGTATGCACTCGCATTCCCAGGTCGTAAACTCCAGCCTTCAGCCAGCCAAACCGACACCTAAAAGCGCCAGTAGCACGCGACCCGGAGCGACGGTGTGAGCGCCCAACTATTCCCTCAGCCCAAGGTGATGCTCTGGCTCTGTTCCGGCTCGTCCGTCGCGTGTGCTGCTGTGTGACCATGCGACGTTGAAGTTTGATTCTCTCAACTTGTGCCCAGCAGGCGGTAAAGGCGTGGCAGGATTTCCCACTCCATACCAAATGGGACTTGGGATGGATGACAGATGGAAGACAATGGCACTTGGCGTCGCATCGGCGGGCTCAGTTATCAGCTCATCGGTGCTTTCTCCGGCAGACCTGTTACGTGCGGGGCGACGGATTGCCGCCAGTGAAATGAAGGATTGAATACACGGCGGAATGGTGGAAACGGGTGGAAATGGATTTTGGATTCGCCTAGCCAAAGGCTCGCTTGACTCGCGTTTTGTGTTCAGCTCCTGTCGTCCACACAACCGAAGTCGAGTTCGGGGAGTAACCCAGGGATACTAAGAGGAAAGTGAATTGAACTGTGGAAATGTGTAGTCAGAGATGCCAGGGTATATATTTGTCTCTGTCAGGGATATCTTGAAAGCTTTCTTCGTCTGTGGTTGCGAAATACACAGTACAACATGTTGTTCAAGTTGAGTTGTAAAGATGAAGATGCGAGGCGAGATCGAGGTGCAATGCCGACGACTCGGACTAGGATAAACTGACTGTGTGGGGTTTACACTACAAAATCGCTGGCTTTAACCCCACCCGACGAGCTGGGCATGTCTTTCGCGCGCAGCGACTATCTCCCAAAGTCATCATCTCAAACCACGACAACGAGAACTCGGATTCATATCGTTTCGAAAGCTATTGTTTTCCCTCCACACGCGGGGACCTCTCACCGCCCCCTTGCACTCCGGACCTAATCCCAACACTCACTGACCCTAACCTTTGGGGAAGCCCGTAGAGGCTAGACAGGTGGAATATCAATAAGACGCAGTCGAGTTATCCTCCTCTACAATGCCGAAATCAGCAAAATCGAGCAGTCCGTCTTTTGAGGTGCGCAATGCGCGACGTATAGCCCATACTGTGTAGTAATGTATCGCAGCAGCAGGAGCCAGCGGATCCTGCGATGCTAGCACTGCAGTGCGGCTGCTCCCAGGAGAGCCAGCGCAGGCACGCCAGGAGCTACCGAGTCGAGATCCACCCTACTTGTACTGTGTTAACGTCACGGCTTGAGGCCTGAGTGACTGGAGCACTAAGAAAGGTACCTAACCAGCTAAACAGGGGCATCGAGTCCCGCACGGCGTTCCATTCCACGGCAATCGCATCTCGATTTTTTTTGTTCGTCATCCGACCACCTCCCCACAAGCCCCTTCCCACGGCGGCTATCCCACTCCTTTCCAGATTGTCTTCGAACCTTCATTCTCTTTCATCATGAGCATCTGCGATGTGAATGAAGCAGCTCGTTTACGCTAGACGTGCCAGTCCAGGCTCGTAAGGAAGGATCGTGCAGCCTGCGAGACACCCGCGCGCACCATTACCGCCTGATGCCGTGCGGGGAGGTGAGAAGGGTCGCCGCGAGACTATTCTGAACCGACTTCGGCTAACGAATTGAACCAGAACAGTACTTGCCAAACCGTCTCACATCGAGCTTGGACTCCATGTGAATGAGTGTACAACGGATCCCGTCCAAAACGCCAGCACAAGCCTACTGCCCCCATCGCCGGTCCTGGCGCCATGCTTCGCTTCATGTGACCAAAATCAGGACATCAATCTGAGGTGACATCACAATCAGTTTACGGACGCTTCGTCGACAGACGGAAGCTCCCAATGAAAAGAAGTACACGATGGGCGGCTGACATCTCGCCGGCGAGGTACCACTGGTGATGGTAGCAAAAGTAAGATGCCAAAAAAGGGTGCCGTGCCCTGGGCCCCCCCATGCGTTGTTTTGGTGCTCTTCCACATCCCAACTTGGTCAGTGTCTACACATCTCTCGTCGCGACAGTCCCACAAGTTTGGAATCAGATTTGCGAGATGCAAGGTGCTGAGAGCATCTGATTGGCCAACTCTGGCGCTCAACCCAACTCTTAGCATCTGTTGGAGTTGCTTTTGATGGATGTGACGAGAGGTTGGTACACAGGGGCAGGTAAGACATTGTAGGAACCGCGGGTATATCCCACACCGCAGTTCAGGCATGTGCGAGAGTCCAGCACACAACTTCTCCCCCCTTTCTTCCTCTGCTACACTACATCATATGCGTATTGGTCCCATATGTGGTGTAGATGAAGGGCATACCTCTACTCTTTCTTACTGCTAATCATAGCAATCTAACTGAATGGTCTCCTGAAAAGACCCTCTCCGACCCCACCTCCCAGCAGGATGGGTCCCCGGTCTTGGCAGCCGGTCTAGAATGGAACTCCCCGGACGGCAACACGTGTCGGGTTGATGCGGCATGCAGGTTGTCCACCACATGTCTGAGGGTCGCCGCGGTATGCGCTCACAGATGGAGGGTCAGGAGAAGAAAGATCAGGGAATGTGTGATTTGGTTTGGGTTGATCACCTTCTTCTACACTACATACAAGCAACCAAAGGACAAGGTTGCAGCATTCATCGGGTATTGTAATGCCGCGGCCGTCCTGGTCGTCGAAAACCGCCGTGTGGATAATCATTAGGTTCGGGGTCCACGCGCCTGTGTTGATACGGGAGTTCGGACGGCTCTAAAACTGAGTGGATCACAGCTTTGATTCTGGGGTATTTAGCTGCTGGACCAGTAAAATCGCCTCCGTCTCGGATATCTACACATCGCCAAATGACAAATCAGGAAGGTAAAAGCAGTGGGGAATGAGCCAATTGTCGAGAAAACCCTTGCCTTGCTGGGTATCTTTCTGCCGCGGCCAAGCGCTGTGCATGCCATTCCCATCATGGAGCGTGACACGTGCATGATGAAGTTTTCCGATGTTTATGTACTATCAAGCTCTTTTTGGAGACGTACGCTGTTGTCGGTAACACCAATGATCCAGATCCTCCTTATTTTCCAGAATGATGGCGACGGTGACAATCACAGCAACAGCGACAGCGACAGCTCAGCTGGAGAAAAAAAAATTAGACGATCCTTATCCAAGCTGTTGGGAGCCAGACAGACGTCATGTACTGCAACGTTATCAGGATGCAGCCCTGAAGGGAATCAAATTACGCGGCCCTCCTCTCGTATGCATCGATCATCACTCCCGCCGTCACCTTTCATCAATCTAAAAGATTGGGCGTTGCTGACGGTGTGAGAGGTGGCATGCCCGTGGATGGCAAGCATTCTGCGCCGCCCCGAGAAGGTACCTATCTGATAAGATGCCTGCTATACATAGATACCCGGGGACGCGGTACGACTACCTCGTTGGTGAGCATGCGAGACATCCATGATAGGCTTCATGGCGCGGGAGATAAGACGTCGTTGATACCAAACTGCGTGGGCGAGGGACGGGAGGTCTGGCGAGGTGCATGCCATGCAGGTAGTGTAGAGGCGAATAAGGCAAGCCGCAGTGATGTCGATGAATGTTTGGGTTTTTGGCCGCCCTCTGGTCAAGTGCCTCAACACTAGTGTAAAACAATCACCAACCGTTCACCAACCCCGCATTTTGACGGTTTCCATTCTAATTTCTACACTCTGGGGTCGCCAAAACCACGATGCCGCCACCTCCACAGCGATATGTCACTCCAACCCGGGGAAAGCAGGTCATCGAAATTAGAATGAGCTTGGATCGCAATCATCGGGTTTCGGGGAAGATTCCCTTTTGCTTGTTGGCCTCGAACCTGATGACCTGCGAGCCTTCGCCTGCTCCCCCTCTTCCGGGCCAGAACCTCAGATATGCTCGCATGAGCGTGGACAAAAATCCCAAAGAAGAAGGTGAAATGAAAGCAGGCCAGCAGGGTGCCACGGTGCGCAAGGTCTTGGCCCGTCGCCGGAGGGTGGACATGAGAGTGGAATAGCGTTGCGACGGAGCCCCAATAGTGCAGCCGGCATCCAACCACTCAGTCTCCGTCCCGGCCTTTGCTATCCGCATTTTTCGAATGGGGGCGAGTGTCGAGAAGAGGAAGTGGAGGGGCAGATCCGCCAAGGTTCCGAGTATGCGAGAAACGAAGAGCCTTCAATTGCGACTTGTACGGCTTTTGGTTGACTTTTGGTGTGCTCCCTCGGGCTCCTTCCTCAAGACGTCGACAGGCTGGTCCCAGCTTCTTTTTGCCTCTTGGAGCGGATTTGCGGCCTGTGATTGGTCAATTGGCCAACAATTGGCCCGATAAACTAGCCAAGGCCTAACTTCCCACTCGCTGGTGGACTGGCTCGGAGGTCGGGACATGGCAGGTGGAGTGGCCACCAACGGGAGTGGACGCTCATGGCAAAGAAATAATTGAAGCCGAGAGGAGGCTTGGGTGGGCCCAGACGAAAAAGAACTTTCTTTTTTGCATTCTTCTGCAAAGAGGATCATCTTCTGCCCGGTTTGGGCAAAGACACACACGAGCAAGAAAGATAACGGCGGCGGCAAGTCAGCACGACCTGCTATCCAGATCCATTCGCCAACAAAGTCTCACACAGGTCGTACCCAAGCCAGACACTACACTCCTTACGTAGTAGGGAGGTGGATTACACAGGTGGCTGTCTAGCGGCGACGCCGAGCTTCCTCTTCCGTTGGTGACTTCCATCTCGACCTTTGTTGTCGTAACAGATCTGGGACAACGCAACGCTCAGAACGGTTCGTCGGTTTTTTTTCTATCATTTGTCCAATTTTGTTTTTATCGGTCTTGTGGGCAATTGTGCCTTTTTCCCCCCTGCCTCCATCCCAGCATGATCCAAGCTTAAGCGAAGTACACACTGGCACCTCTCTACACCACACCTACCAGACCTAACGAGTGTACCTCTCATGAACCCTGGCTGCCACCCCTCGTCCCCCTCCATCGTGCGCCCCTGGGCTAACCCCACCCCTCCATCCAGTTTTTTTTGGGACGCACTACTCTTTTGATAACCACCTCAGCCGGTACCTTCACCGCACTGAGATACCCTCCTCCGGCTACTATCTCTCTCTTAGAGCTAGGATCGAGACCCTGGCCTGATACCACAGATACCCGAAGCTCGAGGAGAGGGTATTAAAGTTTGCACCACCCCAGACTGCCCCCCTCTTTGCACCCACCTTCTTCTACCTCTCTTCCTTAGACCAAAAGCCAGACTCAACGTCTCGACAAGCTGAGCTCCTCCCTTTGGGTCTCTAGAGGTCGTCTTGGAGCCCTAGCCGGATCTCCACCACTCCATCGACCCCCGACATTCCCACATGTCATCGGCCGATAACAGAGGGCACGCCGACCTGGACACGATTCAGCCTCAGTACCACGACGTTACGCGCAGTCCCACAATCGACGCCATGTCTGCCCACGGCGACGCCAACAACACGGAGATCCTGGGCTCCCACGCCCACGAGAAGCCCGTGATCTCGAGCACCGACTCCGATCTCAAAACCACCATCCCGGCCGGTCAATATGTCGACGCCGAGAGCCAGCACCAGGTCGGTTCTGTTGATCACGCGGAGCAGCAACCCGCTAAGCGCTACACTTGGGCCTGGTTTTACTTCAACTTCAGGCCTTATATCCACGCTGCCATTTGGGCGCTTTTCACTGCGTTCGTATTTCCTGCTTTTCGAGTGTGTTCCCCTGGGGATGCCTGGAAATGATCACTGACGAGGTGTTTCGGTTCTCTCTAGATGGTGGATTTACGGCGCTCTGATCCATCACCGTCATGACCATCTTGGATGGCTGAAACCCACCCTCGTCTATCTCGCCATCTGCGCGCGCATCATCTTCTGCTATGTCCCTACCAGCATCGTCATGCGTCCTGCCAGGATCATCTGGATGCACACGGTTCACAGGGGTTATTCTATGATTCCCCAGAAGCTTCATCAGCCTCTTGCTGCCCTTGGTACCCTCGGTGTTTTCCTCCTCGGCAGTATGATTCCGGAAGAGACCGGCGACAACACTCGCGCGAACCGCGCCATCTCCATTTTTGGACTCATCGTCATGATCTTCCTTCTCACTGTCACCTCTCGCGACTGGAGGAAGATTCCCTGGCACACAGTCATTGGTGGCATGCTTACCCAATTCGTCATTGCCGTTTTTGTCCTCAAGACCAAGGCTGGTTACGACATCTTCAGCTTCATTTCCGAAATGGCCCGCACTTTGCTCGGTTTCGCCAATGATGGTGTTGAGTTCTTGACTGACGACACGGTCACCGCCAAAGGCTGGTTCTTGACGGGTGTTGTTCCTCCCATCATCTTCTTCGTCGCCCTTGTCCAGCTCTGCTACTACTTGGGATTTATCCAGTGGTTCATTGGCAAGTTCGCTGTCTTCTTCTTCTGGACTCTACGCGTCTCGGGCGCCGAAGCCGTCGTTGCTGCTGCCACCCCCTTCATCGGCCAGGGCGAGTCGGCTATGCTGATTCGTCCTTTCGTCCCGCACTTGACGCTTGCCGAAATTCACCAGATTATGACTTGCGGCTTTGCCACCATTGCCGGCTCCGTCCTGGTTGCCTATATCGGTCTTGGTCTTGATGCGCAGGCCCTTGTGTCTAGCTGCATTATGTCCATCCCAGCTTCTTTGGCCGTTTCCAAGATGCGTTTCCCCGAGACGGATGAAACTCTCACCTCTGGCAATGTTGTTATCCCTGAGGATGAAGAGCACAAGGCCTCCAATGCTCTTCACGCTTTTGCCAACGGTGCCTGGCTCGGTATCAAGATTGCTGGCATGATCGTTGCCACTCTCCTCTGTATCATTGCCATTGTTGCTTTTATCAACGGCCTGCTCGGCTGGTGGGGCAAGTACTGGGGCTTAATGGGTCAGGACGCCAAACATCCTATGCTCTCACTAGAGCTTATTCTCGGATATATTATGTATCCTGTCGCTTGGCTGCTCGGCGTCCCTAAGCAGGATCTTCGTCCTGTTGGCGAGTTGATTGGCATCAAGGTCATCATCAACGAGTTCGTCGCCTTCTCCTCGCTCACGAACGATGAGCCCTACAAGAGCATGAGCCCTCGTTCCAAGCTTATTGCCACCTATGCCGTTTGCGTAAGTTTTTCTCTGCAGATCTTTGCTTGGTTTCGGTGCAGTACTAACGTTGAATATATATTAGGGCTTCGGCAACATTGGATCCCTTGGCACCCAGATTGGTGTGCTTTCTCAGCTCGCTCCTGGGCGTGCCGGTGATGTCTCCAAGGTCGCAATGTCGGCTCTTTTCTCCGGTGTCCTATCCACCTTGACCTCTGCCAGCGTCGCTGGTATGCTTTACACCGAACGATAAAGAGCTGGTCTTGATGTGCTTATGAGGGAAGGTTGATGTACATGAGTAATGTGTAAGAAGAGACGAGAAAGCCAGTTGTGCGAGTTTGGGACCATGATACCCTTGATGCAGATTAAAAGATTAATAATGCCTGAGGTCGTGAATGAACGTCGGCTAGAAAAACTGGTGCGACGCGTCTTCGACTCAAATCTAATGAACAAAATGTCGAAAGACTCTACATTTTCCGCGCCTCGTTGTTCTCATTATGACGAGATAATTGTGTCATCTCGTCCCTTGGATTCTGTGCGCGAGGATATCGGACTTGCTGATACTATCTGATCAAGATATCGGGACTGGTGACCGACCTTCCCGACGCCTTGCATGGTGCTGGAAATTCTGTCTGGCTAACAATCAGCTACTTGTTTAACAACCGTCGTACAACTGTCCTTATCATGGAGTGGAAATCCAACCGCATTCCGTTCCTTCGAAGCTCTATTGTAGCGTTTCACCATCAGCCCTCCAGTTCAGCTCTTGTCCTCTTGGACTCTTGAAACTGAATTGTCGATGGTTAGGCGCACTAAGCGAAGCGCGGCACAGGGAATACCTCATTGATATAGGATGCAGTAAATCCTGAGGGTAACCACTCCAACTGTTTGTATGACTTTAAACAGCAACTGGAACTGTGCTCTGAAATCGCCGTACTGTTGGATTCCTGGGCGAGGCTCGGGGGGGGGGGGGGGGGGGGGGGCTCGGACTGAATTAGTCAATCTCAAATCTTGGTGATAATCACAAGATCCTAGTACCGTGACTCCATTCGAAGAAGTAGGTGGTAATCGTACGTCGGTTGCTCCTTGTCTACCGTTCAAGCGGCAACAACGACACCTTGTCAGTTAACCTCTCCATATTCTGGAACGCCTCTCTGGTACTAGGTAGATACTCGTTAGAATCGCGGCACGCCAAGATGTCGCAGCATGCAGCAAGCAAGCCCGTGGGGGGTTGGGGTATTGTTAGCTAACGTCTGGTGGACAGTTTTATCCATGTACGGCGGGGCCGATTCCCGTGTCAAAAAAACAAAAAAAAAAACAGAGGAACATGTCGTGAGCCTTCCCGGCTTCGTCAGGTTTTAACGAGCCGACGATCGCTTACTTCAGTTCCAAGAGTGTTGGGTCCATCCCGCCTGTTTTGTGGTGGGCAAAGGAAAACGGCAGATGTTGAGTATCGATGAGAAGGAGACAAGAGTGCGAACTGGGCGAGTGCGGAAATTTTTTTTCTCTCGGAATCTTGGCCATGACTGCTTTGACATGAGTGGCCAAAGAATGGCAGCTATGCTGCGGATCAGAACGATTACGGGTCGCCTGGTATCGTAGGGCAAAGGACTGATACAGCAAGGCAAGGCAGGTTGAGAGCTGTCTTTTCTAGTCTATGTGCAGCGTCAGTTCTTATTTTGGTTCTTACTCGCAAGAAGAAAGAAGGAAAAAGACAAAAAAGAAGAAGATATAGAGGATATAGAAGAAGAAAAAAAAGATCAAGACCGACAGAAACATGGGGGTCATCTCTTGGTCCTCCAACAGTCAGGACCATGCATGTTCCTCAACCCTTCTCCCACCGATAATTCAAACAACCCAACCACATCGAGAAGCAGCATTTGTTCGCCATCTTCTGGGTCTGGGGA